CCGTACTTGACTCGCTTATTCCACTTGATCCGCTTGATCCTCTTTGTCATTGGTCAGTTCACTAAATCGACCAATCGCGAAGCGGTTATCCACTTAATCCGCTTGCTATTGGTCAGTTCACTGAATTGACCAATGATGAAGCGGACCAAGCGGATCAAGTATAGCGTGTGCTTTTTATATCAGTTTGCAGAAATTCCGTAGCTATGCGGAAGCAGTTGGATATGTTGGGCGCTACACTTGACTGGAAAAACTCTTATTACACATTAGATGAGGTATGTTCGGAACTACTATCCTTTTTTTCTTGGCTAATTAACTTCGGGTTCATCATGAGTTACTGTTGAGTAGTACTGTATCAGTTCTGAGCTCTTTTAGGTTAAGTGATCGCCGTATATTTTCAGAAGTTTTCTGCCGCTGTGACCAAAGCATTCATTACTTTATATAACGATGGCTTGATTTATCGTGATAAGAAGGTAGTGAACTGGTGTCCCTATTTGCGCAGTTCGCTCTCGGATCAGGTAACTTTTTTATCATCTCATATCTGCACCGCCGAAGTTGACTGCTTAGGAGGTGGATCGTATCGAAGTGCAATCGTCTACAAAAATGTCCATACCTTCACCGGAGGGAGGGAAGCGAGATGTTGAAGTAGGAACCATGTATCGGATTAGGTATCCTTTGGCAGGCAGCGACAGGTGAGCTGCAATACCGACCTTTTTCTCTATGTGTTGTGGTGCAAACTCCTGCACTCAGCTTGCTTTTCATTGCTGATCTGAACAATTTTTACTTCTGCGATATCTCAAGTCTTCATCTTAGGACTGAATCGTTGGCTTTCTGAGCGTCATTACCGACCAGAACAAGCTAGTGATTCAATTTGATGTGAATTTTATGCAAAATTGTCATTTAAAATCATGGAATTTTTGATGTGATGAATTCCACATAGTATTAAAAGCATTGTCCAGGTCAACTTAGGGGTATTGGGATCCAGATCAACTTAGGGGTATTGGGATCCAGATCAACTTACGGGTATTGGGATCTTGAGACAGTGTGAGAGCAG